AAATGTCACTCCCAGATATAGTGTCTTATCTGTCTGAGGAATTTGGGTATAGTTGACGTAAAAAAGAGGATATTTTCAGTTCAAAGTGTGAAAGTGATGTGTTGGGATTGCTTTGACTCTACCAGCTAGTTGAATTTTCTTAAGTTTGCACCAATCATTCCGGTTTTATAGGATTGTTGTATCGTCAGAGTAGGTCCCTGTATCAGTACTGGTACTATTTCGAATATCTTACAGTGTATATTATTTATAACAAATATTTAAAATTAATGTGATTTATTAGAGGTTTTTCAAAATTTTTCCTTGGTCGCAAATTTTATTAATTATACTATACCTCCTTGATTAACTACTTTCTAGTGTAAATTTGGTTGAAGTATAAGTATTATTATGTCGTTTTTCATGTTTCTGAAAGATGCCCAGCACCTAACTTTGACTCGAAGTCGTTAATAAGAGTTTTAATTAACCTTTAATAGTTAGTTGGGGAACTTGTTAATGAGCTAGCTGCCTGCTGGTTATCCTCTCACCTAGCCGGTCCCTTCACCTCAATCTACTGAAACTTTACTATTTAACTGTCGATGAACCGAAATTAGTTGGCAGTTTGAGAATGAACTCATTTTACATCAAGTTGACATTATCGTCCCATACTCTTTGAATATTTATAAATATGTGCATTTTGTTTTAGAGAAATCATTTCTTGATAGATAGATAGAATTTTTATTGTTAATTAAAGAAACAAAATTGAAAAACAAATCTCTTAATAATAATGACAACTACTACTGGAATAATTATAAAAAATAATAATAAAGTAATTACAATTTATGTTGAAATTCATACCGTTCATACAGACATATTATCTAAAATTACGGCCAAGAACTAGATTATTATTACTTCTTTTTTTTTTTTTTTCCCCTCTCAAAATTAGAGTTTTTACGATTCGGAATAGATATAATTCGAAAAACAAATACATCTTTTTTGTCCGTACGCCGTACGCGCATTTTCTCCGAAACAACTGGACCGATTGTTTTCAAATTTGGATTTCAAATTTTCCGACTACTCCAGCACTTACTAGACAAACGCTCTAAACTGCCAACTATTTACAAAAGACTCATATATATTACTATAATGAGGCCTATTTGGACTTACGGGATCGAGCTTTGGGGCTCTACTAAACCATCAAATTCCTCTCGTATCCAATCCCTACAATCCAAAATCCTTCGTAAAATCCTTAATGCTCCATACTTTGTCACAAATAAAATCATCCATAATGACCTTAATGTACCATATGTTTCCGACATAGCTCAATCCAGATACCTGTCCTTTCATAATAAACTTCTGAACCATCCGAAACCTCTCGTTTCCAACCTTGCTTCCTCTTCTATTCCTGATAACCCTCCGAGGCGTCTAAAAAGAAGATGGCCTCGGGACCTTCTAATATAGAAATATAATTGGAGTGCTAACAATGGGTAGTTTCTCCTCATGTTGTACATGTCATATTACTTGTTCATATTTACTTGTTGTATTTATTATTAATTACAGTTGTAAATTTCATCAATAAAAAAAAAAAATAAAAAAAAAAAATAAAAAAAATTTCAAATTAGAGGTCACCCGAGGATGATCCTACTTCGTCGACATTTCTATCCACCTTTTCCTTTCAAGATGGGGACAGAAAAACCTGCTTTGCTGAAACTTCCCTAAAGTATTCTTCTCGATGCCCTTTAAGTTTATTTATGTCGTAAACCAACGACTTCCTGTCCTACAGTTTCCTTTAACAATACTCCACTTATCTCTGTTGGGCAAATCCGATACCTAGGACTCCATCTGGACAAACGACTAACTTGGAATCCTCATACTAGACTGAAACGACAAGAAACCGCTCGACTTCAAGAAACGACCGATTACTTCAGCACTTACTAGACAAACGCTCTAAACTTCTCATTAATTACAAAAGACTCATATACTTGACTATAATAAGACCTATTTGGACTTACGGAGTTGAGCTATGGGGCTCCACTAAACCATCGAATTTCTCTCACATCCAATCCTTACAATCCAAAATCCTTCGTAAAATCCTCTATGCTCCTTACTTTGTCACTAATAAAATTATCCATAAAGATCTTAATGTTCCTTATGTTTCAAATCTGGCCCAATCCAGATACCTATCATTCCATAATAAACTTCAGAATAATCCCAACCCTCTCGTTTCTAACCTTGCTTCCTCTTCAGTTCCTGATAACCCTCCGAGGCGTCTGTAAAGAAGATAGCCTCGTGACCTCCTAATGTAGTCGTATTATTAGAGTGCTACCATTGGGTAGTTACTCAGCAAGTGTATTAATTTAATTATATCTATTATGTCCAAATTTACTTGATGTATTTATGTAATACAGTTGTAAATGTCATTAAGAAATAAAAAAAAAAAAAGTTTATTTATATAACATACGAGTGATAGTAAAATTAGATTTCGAATAACTCAAAAAGTATACAATTTTTTGTCGATATTGTATGATTATTTAAAAGTTTACGGAATATCCTAAAAAAAAAAAAAATCATTAAAATCAGACAATTAGGAGCAAAGATGTGGTCTCTAGATATTTTTTATATATTATACTGCAAATGTTATATCCTTTGTTTCGGTGGTTGGTTTTTGAATGTGTTACTGAAGTAATGCTAATTTGTTTAGAAGATTACTAATGATTTAAAGAAAAAAATGTTTAGCTCAATAATTGAAATCACCTTTTATTATTTTTCTTTGTCACTTGGAAGGCAGTGTTACTTTAGATGTATTCTATACAATAAACCATTGAGAAATAATTTGCAGCGTTTTTTTATTATAATTCATTGGTTAGATTTTCTTTCTATAGTTGTCATAGCGGTCCTGTAAATATGTATTTATGTACAGTTTATACGATGCCCGATAGTTTATACGGTGGTTATAATGTTTATTAAGCAGATAATGGAATAAAACTATGTTCAAAAGAAAGTTGAACTAATAACAAAGAATTAAGAATAAGAACCATATCTTATTCTTTTCTATGATGCATTTGAAAAGGTGGCAGAAAAACGTAGGGTCAAAATATCAAGAACTGTGACAAATTTTCGTATTTAGATTTTGGAACTGATAATCTTCTAGTAGATATTATCGTATAAAATAATGGATAATACCATCCCAGATTGCCTTGTCTTCGAAATCTGAAGCTCCTTGGTGGGGAAATTTCAAGGTATACAAAACAGTCGATTTTCTGAGAGGTGCTGTCAAAGCATATCGGTTTGCTACTTACACAACATAATGTTAATCTTGTTTAATTGATAAATATCCTGATATGAATATTTATAATTTCCTAGTTGCGGTTGGTATGGTTTGGCAAATTTCAACTAGAGGTATCTCAATTTATTCTTCACTTTACTTAAGGAACTGACATTTTCATTTCTTACCATTATTATGTTAAGAGCCATATCGATAACATTACTTATAAATCTTTTCTTAGGTACCGAAAGCATTGCTGATTTTCCTAAATACAAGCTACAAACAGGAGGAAGTTCGTTGAAGAAGGTAAATTCTCTTCCTCTAATGATGTAGATCTGTTGAACCTTTGGATCAAAGGGAGCGGTATATTATTACAAGGAATTCGTTGTGACATTTCCTCATCACATGTGCTCGTCTTTCAGACTGTTGCATTGATAATCAATTTATCGTGATCTCCACAAATTGACTCAAGTTGAAGGAATCAAATCGTGGGAGGCTTAGAATTATTGGATGTTTGAGCAGAGTTGGAGGATTTTTTATGATTCGCAAAACGAAAGTAGAAATAAGATGAAAAAATTGATGTCTCATTAGCTAAGAACTATACGGATAAGTTAGCAGAGAAACAGTGGGACATGTAAAATACGGGACGCCTTCGACTGAACAGTTAGCGGTTATATTGAAGATGGCAACTGGTCAGGATTACCTCCGCAAGCAGCTTCTTATTGGTGTAGTGGGTGACATTGGCGCAAACTTTCGGTTTTGATTGGGGGGATGGACAAAAAAAAAAAAAAAAAAAAAGTTTTTATTGAAGTGTGAAAATTCAATATAATTATTTTAAAGCGAACAAATATAATATTGGATATTTAAAATTAATTTGTTTTTTATATCTGTACGATTATAAGGATTTTTTTTTATTTTACTTATTGCATATGATTGAAATTAGCTTTAAGAAAATTTGAATATCTTACATATTATTTCTCAAATAAATATTCCTTTTTCGGCTTCTAGGAATGATGGATTTTGACGAATGAAGTATCAATTGGAAAAGAATATCAGATAGAGTGCGCGAATCGTAATTTTGATTTCTAATTTTATGCCTGGACTTAAATAAAAGTGGGAGGTTTCAAACCATATAATGGTGCCGTCTTAATGAATCGAGACATTACACACAAATTCATAATTTGTGAATAACTTGCAACGGACCCAATTTTAAATATTTGAAAGCTTATAAATTTCCTGCAAAACGTACAAAAAAAAGATCATCGAAATCGGACGATTTGGTGCAGAATTATAGCTTTCTGAACATTTAGTATTTGTTGTACTGCAAAGATTCTGTTGCATAAAGCTTGCATATTGAAGGTTTTATAAATTGGCTCTTTCTTCCGGTGTACATTGTGTAATGCTTCAATTAGTAATTATTTTTTAAATTTCAAAACATTTTATTGTTTCTAATTAATGAAATTATCAATTTTATTTTGATTTATATAAATCAATTTTGAAATTATAAAAAATATAAAATTTTAATTTATGCAAAATTTGTATATTATAAGTTCATAATATTAAAAATACACTTTAGATTTTTTTTTCTTTGGTTGGTGATTTTTTAAAGGTTGTATTAATAATTATTAGTAATAATTTATATTTGAGTATTACATCGAAAAGTTAATTTTAGGAGCTTACAACACATATTTTTTAACTGTTTCTAAATTCCTCATCTTCGTCCCGAGTCATCCGGTGCCCCAATTCTCATCCATCGTCAGAAATGATAGTACATTCCCTGAGGACTTGGACATCGACCCCGGAACAAAGTCCTGTTACAAAGCGGAAGATGGCAGATAACAAGGGCATAAAACATATCCGGGGACGTTATAGGAATCGGTTTACTGCCCTACCTGTGCTATATGGGACATCGCAGCTTTTTTGTGTCTTGATACGTTTTCTATTGTGTGGAATTATTTTTCCACACCCCTTCATCTCTTAACACTTTTCTATAGAATTCTTATGCCACTTGTTGCGCCAGGACTATTGTAAAAAGAGGTCGAAGTGGACACTTTTCCAGTGTGGCAGAATTTCGACCTTTTTTAATTTGGATGGATAATGTATTATAAGTATTGAATCACGTCCATTACTTTATTTAACCATTATTATTGCTGATTAGGGTTGCCATATAAGAACGTTTGAATGAGAATCATAGTTTTTAATGGAATGTGGTCCAATATATGGTTTAGTTTTTTAAGAACAAAGTCGAAGGCATAACGATTATCCATATTCTATTTATCAGTCAAATAATATGGTACTAGTCGATTTCAGAAGACATCAGTGGCTAGCCGTGTGGTAACTTGTATGACCAAGACCTAACGCTAAAGATTCCAAGCAGGAAAAGCCATAACTTCCTCATTTTTCTTCGGATGTCTGATGACCTTTCATCTATCTTAGGGATCTGCTAACTACGACCCGAGAGAGCACTTTCAATCTGACCCGTCAAAGTTTCGTTGATTATATGGTAATTTTTTTTATTTTTTTTTTATTTTAATGAAATTTACAACTGTATTTGCGTTAAAAATACAACAAGTAAATGTGACATTGGTAACATGACATGTAAAACATGAAGAGAAACTACCCATTGGTGGAACTCAAATTAAAGTTCTATATTAGAAGATCCGGAGGCCATCTTCTTTTCAGACGCCTCGGAGGATTATCAGGGATCGAGGAGGAAGCAAGGTTTGAAACAAGAAGGTTCGGATGGTTCTGCAGTTTGTTATGGAAGGATAGGTATCTGGATTGGGCCAAATCGGAAACATATGGAACATTAAGGTCTTTATGGATGATTTTGTTTGTGACAAAGTAAGGAGCGTTGAGGATTTTAGGAAGGATTTTGGATTGGATGCGAGAGAAATTCGATGGTTTAGTGGAGCCCCATAGCTCAATTCCATAAGTCCAAATAGGTCTTATTATTGTCATATATATGAGTCGTTTGTAATTGATTGAAAGATTTGAGCGTTTGTCCAGTAAGTGTTGGAGTAGTCGGAAACGTCGAGCGGTTTCTTATCGTTTCAGCTTGTATGAGGATTCCATGTGAGTCGTTTGTCGAGGTGGAGTCCTAGGTAACGAATTTGTTCAACTGGGATAAGTGGGGAATTGTTAAAGAATACTGTAGGACAGGAGGTCATAGGTTTGCGACGCAGGGTAAAGGTAATTTGATGGGATTTATTGGAGTTTATTTTAATCCTCCAAGTTTTGACACCATTCTTCAAGACTTGTGATGTGTGATTGGAGAGTTTGGAATGCAATTGATGGATCGTTGTTAACTGATAGGATACACGTTTCATCGGCATAGGTGGTGATGACAGTGTTGGGATGGGTTGGAATGTCGGCTGTATAAACTGTGTAAAGGGTAGGACCTAGGATACTACCTTGAGGAACACCAGCAAACTGAGATAAAAGAGATGAACAGGCATTTTTGTGATTTACTTTGAAGGATCTATCACTAAGGTAATAACGGATAATGAGGAAGTATGTAGGTGGTAGGAATTTACGGAGTTTGTACATCAGTCCCGGATGCCAGACTCTATCAAACGCCTGTTCAACGTCGAGAAAGACTCCCGTGCAGTACATTCCGCGCTCTAATGCAGAGGAAACCACGTCTATAGTAAAATTTAAAAAAAATATTTAATAAATCACTCAAACACAAGTTTACAATAACATTTATTTAATGAGTTGCTTCTCATGAAAGAAGAGAAAGCTCATACACATTCACAAGTGAAGTAACATTTAGAACAATCATTTTTTTTTTTTTTCATCGCCAGGCTCGCTGAATTTAGTGAAGGTTTAAATTAGGCCCGTGGACCAAAAGTTTAAGAGACCCCTCACATATCTATTAGACTTTTACTGAAAAGTACTCCTGCTTCAGTAATAGTACGTGTTATAGACCCCTTTTTTATGAAATTATTATCATCCGTCTAAAACTTCGTAAATAGCTTCATCCCATCGTAACCTAAAAATATTTGATTTATGAAAATTCCTGGAATCGAGGCGTCTATTTAATTATGTACTAAAAACTCGTAAATATTCATTTGCTTTCCACTCGGATCGTAAGATAATTTTATTACAAAATCGAGGAAAAAGAGGGCATACAAAAATATTTAGTTTTTTGGCCTACATAACTATGTTATTTTGACAATTTGGTGGTTGTTCACGGACCAATCCCTGAAACACACACAAAAAAAAAAAAAAAAAATTCTGAACTTCATCACCATTTTTTTCTTCTCGGCATCCATTTTGCTGCTAACTATTCCTGTACAGTAAATCCAATTTCATTATGTAAAGCGTGCACATTGTCAGTTACTTTCTTCAGAAATCAAAGAATACTGCTAAACTAAAAAGAAGAGCCTGCAGGAGGAAGTATGGAGAGGAAGAAGAGGAGGTTTAAAAAAATGAAGCTCAATTTCAGACAGCTAGTGAGTCAAATTGATAATTCAATTTTAATCAAAGCAAAATCACTTCCAACACTTGCTTCAGCAAAGCTTGTGAATAATAAGATAAGGCTTGATATCATTTTCACGTATTTTAAAATAATAATAAAACATATGTTGGATGTTATCTGTTAAAAAACGTTTTGTAAAATCTTTAATTTGTATTAATAAAAGGTATTTGTTATTGACACTATATCTGAATCAATTGTGTGCTGTTGAGCTAGCCTAAAGTTAACTCATATATATAAAATAAATAAGTATATGTATATACATATATAAAATAAATAAGTGTATATATATATATATATATATATATATATATATATATATATATATATATATATATATATATATATATGTTAAGCGAAGACGTTGAAACTATAAAACTAAATACGACAACGTTAATGAAAGCCGGTAAAGAACTAGGACTCGAAATAAACGTGGATAAAACAAAATATATGGTTAGCTGCAAAAATGGCGATACTACTGGTGATATCGATATAGATGGTAATATGTTTGAACAGGTAGATAAATTTAGGTATCTTGGTTCTACGATAACTTGAAAAAACGAATTTGAAGAAGAGATTAAAGTTAGACTGAAGGCGGGGAATGCTTGTTATTTTTCTGTGACAAAACTACTCAGTTCGCGCCTCTTGTCCCGAAACTTAAAAATTAGAATCTATAAAACAATTATCTTGCCTACAGTTCTTTATGGATGCGAAACTTGGCCGCTTACATTAAGGGATGAGCAGCGTCTTAAGGTTTTTGAAAATAAAGTATTGCGTAGAATATTCGGACCGAAGAAGGATGAGTTAACCGGAGAGTTCAGACGGTTACACAACGCCGAATTGCGTGAGCTATATCCGGGTAATATAATTGAGGTAATTTCATCGCGGCGAATCAAATGGGCTTGTAAAGTTGTTGGGCTTAGTAACGAGAGAATTCCTAAAAGGTTAATATTTGCTGTGCCGAATGGTAAGCGTCGGAGGGGTAGACCGAAGCGAAGGTGGGAAGATTGCATTAAAGCTGATCTGAAGGGACTGGGTTTGGACGGCAAACGGTGGAGGGAGGTGTGTAACAAGCGATTGGTGGTGTCGGCATCGAACCTTCGGGTTCGCTAAGCCTTATTATTATTATTATTATATATATATATATATATATATACATGTATACACTCTTCAAAGTTTCTTATAAACCATATCTATTTTAGTTAATCATATAAACCAGAGCCTGATTTCCATCACTGGGTGGTTTTATTTTATTTTCCCCAGAAATTTTCTACTTTGATTTATAAGGAATGATTTTTTTTTTTTTTATGTATACTTCTGTATTCAGAATCATTCACAATCTATCATAATTAAGGACATTTATAATAGTGTTCAGAGAGCACATTCACACTCTATTTACAATAAATAAAAATAAATAATACAGGAAAATAATAATACTAAAAGTAAATCTATATAAACAAAAGAACTAAATTAATCAAAATAATAAATAAAACACGAGCATACTATAAGGAATGATTAAGAATCATTGATTGCTGTTTCCTAAGAACTGAATCCACACGTGGAGCTATTCCACACACTGATCAAACACGATTGAATCCAATATTATATTGTATCTTTGACTTATGACCGAGTATTACATTCAGATGAAAATATAATGTCGTAAAAAAAAATATTTTAATTTAAAAGATCTTTCTATGTGTTTTATCGGTTAAAATTAAGATAATTATTTAACTTCATTGTTTGTTTTTTGGACCAAAAAGCAAAGCATGAATTAATTATACCAACTTCTTTATCTTCATCAGATGCTTTATTCAATTTAATTTTCCGCTTCAGATCATACTGTAAATAAAACAGATCCCCTTTATTAAAGGAACGAAATTTAACTGAACGGTAATAAGGATATACCATTAAATTATAAAATATTCATGTAAGGCTCACCTCACAGATTGAGAAGTAAAGAACAAAAAAAAAAGTAATCTAGTAGATTAATTTCATCCATATAATTTTAATAACAATTATAAAATATGTACAGCTTTTAGAAGTGAAAATAAACATATTATATTTTGTGAGCAATATAATATTAGTGAAACTTTAAATTCAAAATAAATAAATTTCTATTCAATTCTCTCAAAAAAAAGTAGTGAAAATTTTTAATCAAATTTTTGACAAAATTATATATGGAAAACCTCTAATTTTTTTCTTAATAAAAAAAGTGTTACATAAGTAATTGTATTTTTATATGAATTTATCTTATACGGCTTAAATTAGCGGAGTTATGTGAAAAGATATTTTATAACAAAGTTTTAATCTAAGAAAAACTAAATTTAATTATTTTTTATTATTCCTATTTTAGACTCTTCTACATTTCAGAGATCGAGGATTAAATTAGGCTTCGTGTCTTCAGTCAACAATGT